TAATTAATACCAGGATATAAAAGAAGTTTCTTACTACTTCGGCTGGATTTCAAATGTTACACTCTGGCCTTGTGGACCTCCTTTGAGTTCAGACTTGGTGACGTCAGGAAGTGCAGACCTAAACCAGACCTTGCTGGCCTTGAGTCCACGAGGGTACGTGAGAGTGTAATTTGGAACAGGTGTGATGACATCATGCCACCAAAACTCAGTTAGGCTATGTTTACATGGAAACGATTCTGAAGAGAAAACGCAAAAGTGGTGTTGCGTCATCACTTTTTATTCTGCGTTTAGACGAGCGTTTTGTGTGGGAAATCCGCGTGCAAATGGTGACGCAAAAGTGTGTGAAATTCAATGTAGTATGCACTTCAGGCGGCTAGGAGTACATACTACAACAACACCAAGTCCACGCGCCTGCGTACAACCTTCACTGTCAAGCAGACTTTTGCGTTTTTGCCGTTTACACGGGAACGCGGCGGTGGAGCGTTTTTAAGATTTTCACTCTGGAGGGTGGTTTCACTTTTTTGCGTTTTTAAGCCTCAAAAACGCCGTCGCCGTGTAAACAAAAGGCACATCCGATAAAATATTTTTACGTTTTCACCCGCGAGCGTTCTCGTGTAAACAGGGCCTTAGTTAGAAGTGAAACACATATATACTTCTTATCTTGCTAATTGAGTTGGTTAAAGGGATAGTTCACCCAAAAATGAAAATTCTGTCAGTATTTACTCACCCTCACCAACCCCATAAGACCTTCGTTCATCTTCGGAAGACGAATTAAGATATTTTTGATGAAATCTGAGAGCTGGATCACTCCTCCATACTAGTCCATAGGCTTCCTGGGGGATTGAAACTTGCCGGCCTCAAAAAGTTATTAGTAGTAATAACTTTTGTTTAAAATAGTAGTCACTTGGACTATTTTAACAATATCTTTAATAACTTTTCGAGGCCAGCAAGTTTCAATCCCTCAAGAAGGCATTGGACTAGTATGGAGGAGTGATCCAGCTCACAGATTTCATCAAAAATGTCTTAATTCGTGTTCCGAAGATGAACGAAGGTCTTGGGTGAGTAAATACTGACAGAATTTTCATTTTTGGGTGAACTAACCCTTTAACTGAATGTGTTCCTCCCTTGCTAATTTGGTTAATTGTCTAAACGTGCCCCTCCTGAACTTTGTTAATGAAATTTCATTTCGATGCTGCATCTGTAGTCAGCTGATAAGGTCCTTCACCCTTTTCTCCTCACATCAGTGAACCTTATCTCTCCATATCAGCATTAATATGGCTGTGAGTTATAGAAGGGAGCAACTAGACAGGAATGGAAAGGAAAAAGAGAGCTCCTATTTCATTGTGACAAATGTGTCTGGATACCTTCAACACGACATTTACTGCCTCATCCCTTGCTCAGTGGGTCAACCAAAGACATCAGCCTCTGACAGATTTCTCCATAGCCCATCTCCCCCAACGTGCAGATCCATTTAGCCGTGTGACATGAGAGCTGGCCACAAACCAGGCGCTTAACACCAGGTCTGGTTTTGGAGGGGAAGGAAATAGCAAATAATGAGCTTGAAATATTAAGACACAATTGCTGTGTTCCAAAACCTAATGAGCTGCCTACAGAGACAGCATTTTAAATCTACTTAGGCATGTAATGAATAAAACATTTGTATGCAAGATGATCAATGTGTAAATTCACAAGAATTTGGCAACAGGCATTTACTTCTCCGAATTAGTTCAATATTATGAATTTGTTTGTTCTGTCTCTCCCAAATTATTATTTTCATTCTCGCATTAATCATGTACCTGCCATGTAAATGAGAGCGTTCAAGTAATTGAAACGTTAATCACCTTCTCTGAGCGGTACTTCAGGATTGATGGTCAACGGTGAGAATCAATACAAGCTTTCACGGTGAAAATAAGCAGTAAGTGTAAATCTGGAATAATCAGAGGCCTCTCAAATGCCTGTCAAATCAAACAGACTGTGTGGATTACAGCCAGCAGTCACACACACACACACACACACACAAACATTAGCATTTACTCACGCACTGCAGACCTCCTACAAGATCGCTCCTTTATTGATGTCATCAATAAAGTCAAACGGAAAATGCAAGAAAAAGAAAATCATAGCAGCATAGGGGTAGCAGCTTACTCGTAGCAAATAAGAGAAAAATAGGAATGCTATGAACGTCATCAAGACATCAATAGCTCTCGTTTTCTTTCAAGAGTGAGAGAACAGACAGTGCTGGAAAAGAACTGAATTTGGAGTTGAAGGGATCCCATGAGAGTATATGTCACGGTGGGTGTGAATAGCTGAATGACAGAGATACACGCTTAGTGCTGTCAGTGTCATCTCGATCCTCAGAAGAGACAATCTCAGCTGATAATGTCTCATTGAGGCTTTACGCATGGCTTTGTTTAAGTGCCATCCTCTGACAGGTCTCAGTGGTAACATCAGATAACCATTGGTTCTGCATCTGAATTGAATCCCCAGGTGCTTCAAAAGGGCACAAAAACCATGTGTTTGCAAGGTGTCAAGGTTTGGCTGGTTAGCATGGTCCAGTTACTACTGGTGCCATAACCACACCATCTGAGGGCAAAAAGCTGCTTGAATGTCCATTCAAAGGTTGCTGTGTATTCTTATTAAAATGATATAAATATAATTTCATTATATTACAGTATGAAACAAGGAAAATGACATTCATTGAGGCCAGTTCTGTATTGGCCCAAGTTGAGGAAACAGTCTTCGGTAAAATGATTTAAAGCCTTAGGGAAGGAGGAGGCAGAACCCGGCAAACAATCAACGTAACTTTAGAAATAAAAGACTTTTTTTTTTCCTAGCTTGATTTTAGCCTCTGTTTTGAACGCTCTGTTTGAAGGGGCGTGTCTGCTGTGGGATTTAGTGTAACCGGCCACTGCTGTGATTGGCTGACATGCGTGCATATGAAATAGCTACATATTACATGTGAAATATTCTCGAATACGTTTACTTCAGCTATCATACGTTTTTACTATTACAGCTATCGAGATTAGCTAATCGTGAGAAGTTTAAGTATTTATATCTATTCCCATCATAGAATGTTGCCGTGATGAGCATTGAGAAAGCAGATGACAGTCTGATTGAGAGAATGAAGATTTTATCATTGCAACGCTGTTTCTGCACTCTCTCTAATGCTTTCACCAATGCAGACACGATGGTGTACATACAGTAAGAGCTTCGTTGTGCAGTGTAACGTGCGTCATTGATTTCATTACGAGTTGACCAGAAAAATTTGCGCGGTGTGGAAAGATTGTTCTTTCATCGCTCTCTGTATAATTTGTTCACAATTTAAATACGATTATTTTCATCCTACTAAACGAAACGATGTGAAGTTGATATTTTAGTCACTGGCTTGACTTATGCAAAAACAGTATTGAACGATTTCGAGAGAAAGATTACCTGTCTGAACTTGAACAATTAGGCTACACGTCAGAAATTGTTGCTTGGTAGCTCGATCGATTTATTTTCGGACATTCATCGAGGCCAGCTCTGTATTGGCCCAAGTTGAAGAAACAGTCATCGGTGAAATGTTTGGACCATACAAAACTTGTTGTGTCGGCGCATTTCCAGAGAATATAAAATTAACTCATTATTTCTTCAAAGGCTCGGATGAAGGAGCTAAAAAATACTTTAGAGTTCATTTGGACATCCGAACACTGATCAAATGCAGAGAAAGATTGCCAAAGCTAACTTTACACTGATTGAAATTTCTAGCCACAGGGGGACCATACAGGCTAGGGGAACTCTTGGGGGACCTTTAAGCAGTAACGGTAACACTTTATTTCGATTGTCCACTTTAGACATTTAACTAACTATAAGTAACTTTTAAACTACTTGTCGATTACCATCATTAGAATTAGTAGACTATCCTTAATCTCTGCTAACACTTTATTTTGATGGTCCCCCAACAAACATTTTACTAATTGTAAGTAACTTTGCAGGTAAATCAATTTATTCTAGTAAACCTAACCTATAACAGTCCACAAATACTTAAAGTTACTTAAAGTTAGTAGAATGAAGTGGACTATCAAAATAAAGTGAAACCGTATAAGTAATGTGCATACGTTTTGACCATCTTTTTTGGTTTGTTTAGTTAATAAGTGGTTATGTAATCACTGCATTTACATGATGCACATTTTATATGCTTGAGCAGCATCAATGAAAACACTTTGGAACGCAATTTCAGGACTCTAGAAAAAAAAGATGTTTGAGTGGATGGAATCATGAAGAAGGACACTCTCAGAAATGTGATACATATTTTCTCATACAGTTCAATAATTTATTGACTCTGCCAAGACAGGATAACACCCCCACCACCAAAGCTCATTCAAGGTCTCTGAGAAAACCCTTGACACAAAGTTTGCTGGGAAATTGGAAAAGTTCAAATCTGTCTCTCAGTGATTCTGAATTATTGAACCAGCCCAAATTTGCCTCTTCTTTTCTTTTTATTCAGCTCTCATCCAGCTTGTGGTCACAAGTTCAATGCTGTCACTACAAGGATTGCAGTTCAATGAGAACAGAGCTACTGTGCTAATTGGATGTCGAAATAAAATTTCTTAGCTGAAGTGTGTTTCTATTGTGTTTTTTTTTTTTTTTTTTTGAATGACAGTAAAGATGTTGAACTATTACACACTTCAGCATCAATGTTGATTCATATCTCAGTTTGCGTCAGAACGATTGCCAGATCAATTTTAATGTGTGCTGTGCTTCTTTTCAATGTGAATCAGAGCATCAGAGCAAGCACAAGATTGATTGAGCAAGTGCACTGATTAGCGCATAGCCACTGGGCAGTGACCAGCTCATCTCATTTTCCTCTCTTAGCTTCACTTCTCTAAACGTTTTGTCAAATTAAATTCCCAATTAAAAAAAAAATCACTCTAGGATTTGAGCACTGCCCCACAGAGAAGCATTGACAGCCCATTCGTGCTGAGATTTGACAACAGGCCTCTTGTGTTTCCACCCTGCAGTTTGACATGCAACAGATGTCCCTGGAGGAGCTCAAACACGTCCTGTTCCACGCCTTCAGAGATCATCTCACCATGAAGGACATCGAGAATATTATCGTCACAGAGGAAGAGAGCTTGAAGGAGAACTCAGGAAACTGCCAGGCCGAATATCAGGGAGGTAAATGGCAAAGAGAACAATTTCATATTAATTGACAGATCATGCAACAGTTGTTCACAGACACTGGAAATTTTGCGTAGCTTCAATGAGGTGATCGAGAATTCAGGGTCCGTATTCGCAAAGAATTTTTTTAGGCTAAAAGTAGCTCCTAACTGGTGAATTTTGGAGCAACTCCTAAAAATAATAGGCGTCACTTCTAACATTAGGACTCCTAATTTTTTTCACTAAGAGAATTCACGACGCATTTTAGCCCTAAATGTATCACCTAAGTCTGGGACAGATTAAAAGAAGTCGAGAGGACTCCTAACTCACTAAGACCTATTCACAAAGAATTGTAGCGCATACCACCGCCTCTAGCAGTCGCCCAGGGTCTTTGACACAAGCGGTGTTTATTAGGCTACCTTGATTTAATATAATTGAATTACACTTCACTGGGGCTTGCACAAACATGTCATTATATGCATTTCGATGGCATTACTATTATTATTTTGTGTAGGACAGACATATTTAGATGTCATATTTCGCATGATTAGTTGCGTCTGTGTTATGTTCCGCATGATGGATCTAACAACCAGCTTGTGCATGAGAAATGACGTCACCCATAGCAATGAAGACTCACTCTTAGTTTAAGAGTTGTCATTTTTCCTTACTAAGAGTAGGTCTGAAAGGTGTTGTGAGTACTTCTAGTGGTACTCCTAATACAGCCCCAGATCTGTATGTATGCCAATGAAAATACTGTATTTCCACCTTCATATGACAGTAGTGCGGCAGTGACTGGCCAGTTTCTCCAGAAGCACCTCATTGCAGTACACAAGATCCAGGGGGTGGAGTTGGATCCTGATCTAAGGGGTGCAGATGGGTAGGTATATGTAAGGTGGGAGGAGTTGGATCCAGATCCCCTGGATTTCGTGTTCTGCAGTGAGGACCATCTCCGATTTTCAGAAGCCTAGATAATTTTTTTATTTTTATTTTTCTAATCAGTCATTTCAATAAAGAGTTTAAGGCCAACACAGAAACTTTATCAAATACTTCTGTAATTCAAATGAATGTACTTAATGTATTAGGCAATGAACTGAAGTACTCCTCCCATGACATGGAATGAATTGGATCAAAAATGATGGTACAATATAAAATTATTGAACAACAACAACAACTTCTCTGATCGGTGTATCCAACTAGAAGCTTGTTTTTTTAAATGAAGCTGAAACCACATTGACTTTTTGCTTCTGCAGGAGCATATATCACTATCTCAGAGCTTATTGCCGGTCTTCAGAGAATAATGTTATCATTAAAAATCCATTTCTTTATGGATTTTTACTTCTGGAACCAGACTATTGATATCTATAGGCTGCTGTGTTTGCCTAAAAACTGCCTATTGAGAGTTCTGTGCTATCAGTGCCTTGTAGGTTTTTCATATTTTCTTTACTCCCAGTATTTTAAAATATCCCCCTTTTGAAACATTATTGAACCAGATGTTTTCAACGGCTAACAAAAGCAAAGGGAATGAATGGAATTCAGAAACAGGGAAATATATCGTAATTATATTACAGCAGTTCAATATTTAATCTCAATATGAAGCACAGAATAACAACACAAATTGAATGGAATCGAATCTGCTGGGCAGAGAAAATGGTGAATAAAATCGAACAATTTCATGCCTCAAAATCCAATCAGTCTGTCACATTGTTTTAAAATATATCCTTTATTGGCCCACATTGTGCCCTCAAACAGCTCCAACCGAATATGTTATGCTATCTGTGCGTGTTTGGCTGCGATCATTAGTGTGCGACTTGTGTCGAGTCCAGTAAGGCAGCTCAGCATGCCACACGTTTTGTTTCACTATTGTGCATATCCAAAGCCTCATTATGCACAGAGATCAACAGCACTGCTGGATTATTGTTCGGATGGCTTATGCTCAACGTGTGCTGTCATCTCTTCTCATTGATGTCTAGTGCTCCATAGCAGTAACCGCTAGCATCTCCTCTATGTGTCTTTCATATATGCTCTGTTCTACTCCATCAGTGCATTCGAAAAAGAAGAATCGTCAGACGTGTGTCCGCAAGAGCCTCATCTGTGCTTTTGCAATGGCCTTCATCATCAGCGTCATGCTCATTGCAGCCAATCAGATGTTGCGGAATGGCATGGAGTAGCCCCGCCCACTGTGAACCCCCATTGATCTGACCTCTGCTTGAGAAACATGCTTTAAAAACTCCACTTTCTTTTAGCTTTGAAGAGTGTTGGGGAGCGCACAGTGCAGAGGATGTGAATCCCTGAGTTTTTTCTTTTATATTTATTATGTCGATTGTGATTGTGACTGACTGTGAAACAACAGTGAGGAATGTCCACCATCAGCAGCTTGACAGGGACATGCAAGGGCTCCTCACTGAATACCATTTAATGCAATAACATCCGTCTCCCTCTGCGCTGCGTGTCTTTCTCATTCCGTGTCTTTAAAAGTCCACGACTTCGTACTTTATCTCATTTCAAGCTATGTCAGATGGGAACGACGAGGAGTGACTGGCAGCCTGTCCAACAGAGCCACCGCAGGTTGTCTGGCATGAAGAGTGTGTGCATGTTCATCTCAAATGCACTGTCCGATTTGTTTTGAGCCTTACTGTGTTGAAGTTCATTTATGGAAATCTTTGAAGATATCGTTTATTGTTAAAGGGACTGTTGGGTATTTCGGAATAGCATACGACCATACTATTATTTTTACCCTATGCAGTATATTGTGTACAGTATGCAAAGAAAACCCTTATAACCAAAATATGCAGGATACAATCTGCATAGAATACTGTCTCCCACAATGCATCTGATGAATCTGATATGATGAACGAGCAGCTGATTTTTAACATCTCCTCCTTTGGTTGGACTGTCACTAAATGCAAAATAACTACACCTTATTTCCAAGGTGAGGCAAGTTTATTTGTATTGCAACTAATGATAATTTAAAGTCCTTCACATTAGCATAATTGAGAGAGGGGGAGAGAGGAGGAGGACTTTATTTTGAGAAAAGAAAGAAACAAACACCAAATAAAAGTTTGAAATTATAATTGGATAGCAATCGCTGAACTAAACATGTAGTGTGGTAAAATGCAATGATAACAGCATCAAAAAAATATTAAGACGTACACAACTGCTCAAAAGTTTGGGGTCAATATGTTTTGTTTTGGAAAGAAATTAATACTATGTGGCACTGTAGTTGGATACTATTATGTGCGTCTCGTGTTTTAAGAGCAAAAGCGCGTTCTGTTTGATCATCCCTTATACCTTTCACTCAGACGTCAAAATGTTGTCAAATGGAAAAGATGTGAGTGAGTGACAACTAAAGTGCTTCTTCTCATGTGTGCGCAGTGCACAGTATTTAAAGGGATACTTCAGGATTTAGCATTAAGCTTTGTATTAGTAGAAAACCTGCAGTATTTTCAAATTACCATGATTTCCACCCTCATATCCCCCTGAGACGAGAAATTTATGTACTTTTTATCTGGAAAAAATTCTCAGATGACACAAAAATCGTCATTTTGCCTCATCTGAGGATTTTTTGGCCTGAGGCTAAAGACTATAGCTAGTAGTAGTAGTAGCTGTCCCGCATGCCCATAGAGGGTGGGATCTCACTCGCAAAATGTACACATACATAGTGTCAGCCATCTTTTTTTGTAAGCTAGGCTAGCAGGCTCTTGTTCTGTGGAGAAAGCTGAGTAGTAGGGGTTACGATCCACTTTTTCCCGGACATTCCGGGAGTCGCCATTCATTGTTTACATGCACACCTTGCACATGCACAACTGAATTCATTCCGATTGGTGAATCTGAATAAACGCTAAGTGATCGGTTGATTCGTCTTATCACCTGTGTCTCACAGGTGTCGCTCATCAGTAGTCACGCCACCGACCTCGCACCGGTTTCCTGTGGCCATCTCTCGTGCTTCTCGCCACAGTAAACATAATGAATGGCGACTGTAGATCGCAAAAGCCGAATTTCAGACATTTTGGGTGATCTCAAAACTCGATTTTCGGGCAGACTCATCACCAAAGAGTATAGAAGAACAAGAGGCGAAACTCTGATGCTTTTTTGGTAACAGCCATTAGATGGCGCTTCGGTAGCGCGGCAGCCATATCGGGGTGAAAATTCCAACTGGAGTTACTGGACAACAGCACAGATAACCGTTTTTTGAGGTAGATTTTTCTTGCATTAGTGAGTATTTCCATTGTATGCAACTTTACACTTTTACTACTATTATTAGTTACCAACTCCACTAGGCCTGAAATATATTTTGGACGTTTTAATCCCCTGGATCATGCTACAAACATGATGATCGTTGATGAGCTGTGTCCGTTATCCTATAACTAATTGCCACTTTGGACATTGGCTGTGTTTTTTTGTTTGTTTACATGGTCTTGCGTCATTAATATAAGATAGGCTAGTACTGCAAAAAAACAAAAAAAAACAACAAAAAAAAACTGTTTACTGTAAAGCTATTCTATTGCTGTTATATATTTATTCTCAAACATTTACATTTTAGTACAACATTCATTTGCTGAATTTATTTCATTGATAACTTATTTTTGTAAGTAACGTTATGTGTACCTACCGGGAAACGGTCTATGTTATTATAACTTTATGAACTGATATCACTTATTCTTACCTATTACACTTAATGTGGAGAGTAATATAATGAATTAAATCCTCAAACTTCCCTGTCTCAAGTTATGTGGGGGTAGCCCGGTTAAGTAGCAACTGCTATAAAGTTAACTGTTGTGAGTTAAATAATCACCTAGCCTAATTATTTCAACCTAAAAATGATCTCTGCGCTGGACTAAATATATGTATATTATATGACTGCCGAGTCGCTTTCACCCCGAAATGGCGGAAGCGTAGGGCTGCTGCTGGGCGCTGGTGTTGCAATGGAACGTTCTATTGGCTTTCACTTCTTGTCAATATATGTTCTTTGTCATCACTGAGACTCACTAGTAGCCTAGACTTGTTGTGTTACCGGTAGGCGTGGCCTCATAGGACAGTGAAGCAAGTGCATTCTGGGAGTTGTTGTCTTTCATCCACATGACTTTTCTCAGTCTAGAAAGCTCCGAATTGAAAAATAATTTCACTTTTGTTCTACATAAATGACCCATTTTGAATACACATTCATCTTTCCAGAGGTGAAGTATCCCTTTAAAGATCATTTCGTATGACTGACATCACAGAATTTACAGTATTTTAGTGCTGATGTCTGAATGGTCTCTTACTGGTAAAAATCCAGAACGCCGTTGCTTGTGTGAACAGCATATTTGTGAATTTACCGGTAAAGTCATTTTTGGTAATTTTACGGTAATTTACGAGGATTGCTGTGAGAAAGGGGCTAATGACACTCAAAACAAACGCTACTCGCGTATGAAGCAGAAACAACACAACCTTGGCGTCCGTTTTTTCCCGCTTGTGCTGGAGAGCTTTTCTAATATTAATGCGACCCCTAAAGCTCTTGCCTGATCATAACCCTTCTTCATCCAATGATATTGCTCTGAGCTTTTCTGTCTCTCAGCCATCTCTCTTTTCACTATCTTTGTGTCAGTGAAAGCATTTGTTACTAAACATTTCTGTTTCAAATAAATTGTTGTCAAGGAATCCTGAAAAAAAAATTATCACAACTTCCACAAAAATATTAAGCAGCACAACTGTTTTTAACATTAATAATAATAGGAAATGTTTCATGAATCAGCAAATTAGAATGAAGGATCAGTGACACTGAAGAAGACTGGAGCAATGGCTGATGAATGATGAAATTTAGGAATAAATTACATTCTAAAATATAATAAAACCGTTATTTTAAATGATTATAATACAGTATATCACAATATTGCTGTTTTACACTATTTCTGATCAAATAAATGCAGCTTTGGTGAACAGAAGAGACTTCTTCCGAAAACATCTTTGACCCCAAACTTTTGAATGGTAGTTTATATTACTCAGTGTGAGTAGAAGCAGGCTGATTTCTCATTGTTGTCATGAGTTGTGTGTGCTTTGTGGCTGGACATTAACAGGGTTCATATTCTGCAAAGCAAGTGGGATGAATTAAATTCCACACTACTCCATTATGTGGTGCGCCTTGAGTATTCTGTGTGAGTTGTCTTTTTAGAAGTCTAATTTCATATAATCTCGTTTTGTTTGTCTAAACTGAAGAAGATAGTATAATACTCTCTTTGATATCGTCTCAAGGTCTTCTCAATGTTTGCATAATATTGTCTGGTTGAACTATATGACACTGAACTTCTGCGGAAGAGTCTCCTACATAGTTGGACTTTTTGGTCCATTTTGAGTTTTTATTCACTCTCAGGTTCAGAGAGTCAATGAATGCAACAAATATTGCTCTGAATCAACCAGAAGTAAACTGGTCAATCTCTAAAATATAGCACTTTTTCTTTTACAGTTAGAGTCTATGTGTGTAATATAAGTATTTGTCTACCTGTTTGTCTATTTATAATGTGTGAGCACATCAGTCTCCTTCCCTGTGTTCCTTATTATTGTGTATATTTACAGCTGTTTGTCACTCCCCCTATATTGCATGTGTATTTATGCATATAGTGCCACACAAAAGAGTCGTCTGTTTGACTGTCATGTTTGCATGTTCAGAACACTAATGCAGTGCTTTTTCAAGGTCTGTACTGCTTATAGGCATTTGCGGAGAGCGTCAGTCTAAATGTCTGAACTCCCTTTGTTTCCTTCTTGTGAGTAAATCATATCTGAAACAGTACCAGCATTCTGTGCCAAAATACACTGCAAAGGAAAAGCGAATTATCGGGAACGGTTTACTGGACAAAGTTCCTGTCAGTTTTCCAGAATTTTACAGAATGGCTTGCTTGATTAAAGACTGGTGTTTTTTATTCTGTCAGTATTTGCTTTGGAATGAGGAAACTTTTGGATCAATAGCGCCATCTAGTGGTGTTCAAGATTTGAGGGAAATCCTTGTAATGGGACAGTGGTAAAGAAACAAAGTAACTTTTACCAAAAATAAGCTGGAAACAGGAGTGTAATTCAGTGTCGATTCCATATAGACACTACCTGCCAAAAGTTTGGAATCATTTTTTTTTTAAATGTTTTTGAAAGAAGTCTCTTCTGCTCACCAAGACTGCATTTATTTAATCACAAACACGGTAAAACAGTAACATTGTAAAAGAAAATTGTACCATTTAAAATAATTGTTTTCTATTTTAATACATTTTTGCTGCTTACATTTTTACAGAAACCATGACACCATTCAAACATTTGTGTTAAGATAAAAAAAAAAAGATTAACTTTTATTCATGCAGGATGCATTAAATTGATCAAAGGTGACGGTAAAGACATAATGCTATGAAATTGAAAAAGTGCAAATAAATGCTGTTCATTGAACTTTTTTAGGACAAAAGTATCATCATTCAAACAAAAAATATATATATTTAGCAGCAAAAATTGTTTTCAACATAAATGTGGATCATGTGACACTGAATACTGGAATAATGACGCTGAAAATTCAGCTAAATTACATAAATAATAAATGTGTTTACTGTATTTTTGATTAAATTAATGCAACATTAATTAGCATAAGTGTCTTCTTTTTATAACGTTAAAAAATTGACAGGTACAGTATCAATTTAAAGTGTTGCGCCTTGCTATTGTATTATGTTATAAGAATATTTGCTTTTTTTTTTTTTTTTCAATTATCCTAAAGGCAGATTGGTGGACTAAAGTTAAAAAATGTCCTGGATCAGCCATTATTTTGTGTATTCCTCTGCTTGTTGCCATTTTGTTGTTAGAATATACAATCTAAAAATAAAATAAAAAACTCTAGTTTATGGGCATTTTGAAAATGTAAATCGGTCCAGGTTTTATTTGACACTGTATTTTATATTTTGTTGATTAATGATATTTATGTTTTATATTGGTATTTAATTTATTTTTTAATATTGCAAAGGTTGATGGAATTTTTAAATTAATTTACTCTCAATCCATATCCTAACTTCATCTGAATTTGAAGCATGCCAATTCAAATTTTATATGTATGTATTTTTATGGATTATATCAAAAGAAGGACTATTATGCAAATACATATTGCATGCAGGATGTGGATTGACAGTCAGATTACAGCAATATGGTTTCTAAACAAAAAGGTATACTTACATGTAAAGAATATGGATAAAATAAAATTATTTATTGAACATGACAATAAACATATCTTTGCATCCAATTATTGTTATCATCATCATTTTTGGTTATTATTGTTGTTTTTAGCCAATAGGGGGCACAATTGGATTTTCTAAAAATAAGACTAAAATAAATGAATTAAATAATACATACAAAATAATTGCTTTTCTTCTCAAGCTGTGCACATCTACATATGATAAAAGAAGGACCATGAATGAATAAATAAGCCAGTCTTGATTTCTTTAATTTAAAAAATCTACACAACCGTCAAAGCACATACATTTTCAATTGGGTTTTTTTAAATACTGTTTTCCGAGATCTGACGTAGAAAGTGATAGTCTGAGGTATTAAATAGTCTGTTTAATGAGGAATACTTCAAAATGTGTTCTGAGATATTCTTAGATATACAGCTGTGACCCCAACCATGTAAACAAACAAAAAAAACATTTACAGATCATATTTTAAGAAATCTGCTTGTCTCAATTGTATAAATTGTAACTTAAAACCTAAAAATACAGCATCTATATGTAATCAAGGTAAATTAATAAAAATGACAAAGGCACTTGTTTCAAATGTAATTAAGGAATTTAGATGGCACTTTAAAAATGATGTAACCTACTTAATGTAAACTTTGAAATTGCCTTATTAGTTACTTGCTTTCCCAGGGTGGTAATGTTCAAATGAGCAAGTGTGATACTAATGGCTTTATAAGAGCTTTTATCAGAAGTGACTTATGGCTTCCTTTAGGAAAATAACCTATAACATCAGTACATAGCACCACATAAGTCTCTCAATGAGATTAATGGTAATACTGTGCCAGTTTAATGTAGCACTACTGCTGAGGTCAGCAGAAAGCAATTCAAGTTTGTTCTGTGTACAATTAATTTATATTTGTTGTATATCTGATATGTGTATATATATATCAGTTGTAGTTGTTGTTGTTTTAGAACAGTTGTGGGCCAATTTTGTGATGCAAACAGGTGGCCATGATTTTTATATATTAATGGCCATTAAATTTTCTGCGAGCACAAAACCTTAATGACGCAAATTAAAACATTTAATGAAAATTTGCCTTATAATTATGAAATCTGTAAAATTGTTGCATTAATTTCTTAACATTTGTTTGAAAGGATAAAAGTGGATTCTTTCTGCCTTCCAAAGTTATCATACACTACCTTTCAAAAATTTAGGGGGTCAGTTAGATTTATGTTTTTGAAAAATTATCTTATGCTCTTCAAGGCTATACATAAAAAATACGGTAAACAACATCATATTGTTCCTGTATTTGGAAAGCTACATTTTCAGCATCAATACTCCAGTCTTCACTCACATGATCTTTCAGAAACCATTCTAATATGCTGATTTGATGCACAAGAAACAGTTGAAAATAATGCTGCTTAATATTTTTATGGCAACCGTGAAACATTTTTTTCAGGATTATTTGATTGATTAATTTTTAATGTGTCCTTTAAAAAAAAAGTATTGATTTCTTAAAGGACAAAAACTGACTCCAAACTTTTGAACAGTAGTGTACGCAGTGCAACATAAAATGAAATGCTTCAAGTGTTAAAAATGAGCATGAGGCACAATTTAATTTATCAAACTGTTTTTCAGAACAGCTCAATGTTCCTCTTCTTGGCCGGTTGGTTAATACAGGTCAGCTTTTATGAAGCATTTCTCTAAAACTCAGTGTGTATTGGACTGCTGAAATCTCTGGATCCAGTCTCACTGGGTTTCATGAAGATGCCCTCCATCGTTTTCCAGTCGCTGTGTGAGCCGCTGATCATCATGCCGTGCACTTCTCTCTGGCCGTGGATGGGCCTGCCGTACTGCTCGCCCGTCACAGAGAGCAGAGCGTCAGTGGCCGTGTGACGGAACCGAACAGAATCATCTCGCTTCCACACGGAGCCTGCACACAGAACGGTCCACTCGTCCAGATGGTCACCCTCGCCGTTCTCGCCAAAGGCACTGACCTCCTAAACAGGAATAGTATAAGTAAAACAATCAAACTCTACATACAGTACCTTTAAATTACAGTGTGTGATAAAAAATATGACTTATTAAAACCTGATTTGAAGACAGCGGGGAAGTAAAGTAGTGGCTGTGTAGATTGCGGCCTGTGTTCACATGAGTCAATCGAATGTTCTGTCCACACTGTACCGGATTCCCTCGATGACATGCAGTGTCACTGGTTCCCCGCACACTCCAATAACTGTTACTGTCCTCCACTGCGGTTACACCGGTCACTGACTGCTGCCCACTACCTGGAATTAAATCATCATATTAACAGATCTTAGAGAAAATGGGTTATGAATTTAGTAGTATGAATGTGTTCGCACTGATGCACTAAAAAAATATCAAGTGAGGAATGTTGGACAGTTCATCCATTCAACTGTCTCAGCTTTAATAACATAGCCTAGGGCTCACAGACTTTGATGTTGGATTATGAAATAACCCTATAAGAATATTCATACATTACACGGTTGAGTACATCGTACATATAGTACTGTTACACACCGCATAGTGCGTCAGTTGGACACAACTAGAGAATATGCTTTTAAACCCTCCAGAATATCTACAAACTTGTGTTTATGTTTTCACGAGAAAGAGAAAGAAACAGACCTTGAGTGTAAGTTTTACCGATGTCAAATTTTCAAACACCGTTATCTTTCTGAAGGCATAATTAAACATGTACTTAACAATAAAATACACTTTTCATACTTTAATTTACCCTAATATAATAGACCTACGGTTGTTAAATTATATTTTACATCAAAGTTTAAATCCCCCCTCAATGAGACGAACAGCATTTCTGAATGAAAGTCACTCACCAGATCCATAGCGGACATCATGAGAGTGTAATCTGACGTTGTGTTTCACATTGAGCAACTTCACCACCGACCCGCACGTAACAAAACTCATTTCACTGCCAGTGGACAGTGTAAACATACATGATAATAACACTGATATGAACAACTGGGCCCGCAAGAACCTCGAAATCTCCATAGCTTATTGAGTCCTATGGAGAAACCATAGGAAAAACTATAATCTTTAAAACCCCTAACTGACGTCACATGGAGCGCGTGAATCACTAAAAGTTAGCGCGCCTTCTTCAGGTTCGGAGACAATTATTTCGTCGGCTAAAAACAAGATTTAGTTCATTTATGATAGTAGATTATGTGGTAAACTTGAATTCAAATGGTAAATATTTAAATTATAACTAAAAAAAAGGACGACAGCATTTGGCATAAACAGTCAAGTAACGCAAGCAAATGAATTTATCCAGACCGGAAGTTGCATTTGTGTTTACCGGAACGGGAATCCCAACAGTAACCCTCAGCCGTTTTTTTGTTGTCACTATCAAGCTTCTTCTAACCTGACGCCTCGTTCTTCACCTCGTCGCATATTTTCAAGTCTTTAATCGAGCTTCCTCGCAAGGGAAAGTAAGTGCTCGATGTTTAGTTTCAGTCAGGTGTTTTGAAAAGCGGCGTATAATTCTTGGGTTTTTTCTTATTGCCCAGGTTAGCTGTTGTTAGCATGTGGGCCTTGATCTTCCCTAAGCATCACGGACAGTCGTTACTTGGTTATTTAAAAAAAAAAAAAAGATAGTAAAAAGAACATGTCGTTTACCGTTTAGGCTTGATTCATCGCTATCTTTCAGGGTATTTCTTAATAGGTATAAACTTGGTGATTATGCGGTCCATATTCCTTGGCTAAGCTAAATTATCTAGTTAGTTGCATGCATGTCAAGTTCATCTCGATATATGTGTTTTGCCCTGGATTTCCTAAATTAATTTTGAAATGTTGTGTCTTAACATATATAACATAAACATTAGGTTACCTAATAACGTGCTGTTTTGAATTACTAGTGGAAGAATAATCAGTTTAAGCCACTAGTGAAGATTATTTGTCATGCGATCCGGTCAGTCTTTTGTTTACTACTGCAAGTGATGTCAGATTTGATTTATGACCTTTAAACTCTTTTATTATTTTTAAATAGAAGTATACTGGTTATGACAAAGGTATTTTCATATAATATTGTTTCAATTAAACATATCATACTTTAATACTGTCAATACCCCAAACCCCATTGAATGCTATACCATATTTGTCACATATCCCTGGTAAAAAAAGAAAGAAAAAAAAAATCTTGTTTGGATTTTCACATAGGCCTTGCAAACATGTCTGACTTCATCGAGAGCGAGGCTGAGGAGTCGGAGGAGGAGTTCGAAGAGAAAGACCTGAAGCCCAAGAAGACACAGAGATTTATGGAAGATGATGGTAAGATGTCTCCTACTTAAAGACACATCCAGGGCAGGAATATTATTACCAGAAACCACATTTTAGTGTGTTGCCTATTAATTAATTGCTTAATTTCTCCAGAAGAGGAAGAGGAAGAAGAGAATACTGAAGATCAGGATGAGCATGGAAACCTGAGAGGACTCATCGATGATGATTTGGAAGAGGAAGATGTGGCAGAAGTGGCGAGTGAGAAAGAGGACAGTGACTCTGGTGAAGAGGTCCGTCATCGCCGCAGGAAACGAAGTAGGTTACTCTGATTAAGCCACATTAGTAAATCCTTCTCTATTTCTGTGTTTTGTCAGTTCATTAGTGATAAAATATTGAGGCTATCTTTCCTATAGTGTTTTTTTACTTTACTACAGTAAAGAATGGGTTAGACGTTAGTGAAGATTTGGGAAAAGAAATAAGAGTTTCCTTGTCTAGTAGAATAACTAATGTAATATTGTTAAATTCGCTGATAATCAGATCTCAAGATCGCAAAAAAGAATAAAGCAGACAAAGCTTAAATTTATTGGCTCACACACAACTCTCTCATTCGTCAAGAATCCAAATGTTTCCATGTATGTGATGCAACTGTTAATTGCTAAGCTAATGTTGTTCTTATTAGGGCTGGGTAAAATCAAATATTCTCAATATGATCACTGCTATTTTGCTCAAACATTTCCCAACATGTCATTATATTATTGTTGTGATTAGGGTTGGGTATCGAAAATCGATATTTAAAGGGTTAGTTGGTTCACCCAACAATTAAAGCCTTTTTAAGATTTTTTGGAATATCAAAATATCTGAATTTTGTGTTCATGACATGAGGGTGATCATTTTAATTTTTGTGGGAACTAACCCTTTAAGATCAACAAATAAAGTAATCTATATTTTATTTATAAAAATAAATATGCAGTGTTATTTTATATTTGTTTACAATTTCTGTACCTGAACATTTAGTTGTATTTATTTGTGCCATTGCTAATTTGTTTCTTATTTTATTACTCTTTAATAATGTTTCAAATTTATATTAGATTGTCCAGTTGTTTATTGCTATGGTATTTTTTTTTTTTAAACTGTTAGTGTTCTTTTTAGGCTGCTGTTTTTTGGTCATGGAATTCAGCTGCAACAAACCGTGTTGTCAAAAGACAGAATAAATATGGTTGATATAAATGTTTGACTAAATGTTTTTGCTTTACTGGAATCGGAAAGAAAATTCAAACGATACCCAACCCTAGTCGTGATGATTCCTTGTTTCAAGACATGTGGGTATGAGCGCAATAAAACAGTAAAGGTGTCTATGATTTATATTTTAGTAGCAAAAACCGGGCTCTGAAAGCTTTCGGAAAACTGTTCAAAGTACTTGTTTTAATTAATTGATTGACAAATCTGATTCAGTAGTCTGAATCAGTGCATAATCACACAGATTTGTTCTGGAAATACTTGTTTTTTTATTAGATGGTTGCATTGAATGTTCATTTAGGAAAAACATGTCTTGATTATTATTACTTAAACTAGATTTTTGTACTTTGTACTTTTTGCTTATTGTTTTGAATCAATTGTGCCACAATTATGGTTGTTCTAATTAGGATTTTTTATTATTATTGTTGACCAAAGGAAAAATGTAATATTGTTTTTCAATTTAGCTCAACCTTAGTTCTCATTAATGAGTGTGTGCATCTGTCAGGTTATGATGACTATCTGGATGATGATGATCTGGACCTCATTGAGGAGAATTTAGGAGTGAAAGTAAAGAGGAGGGTGAGTCACCAATCTTTTTGCCTGTTCTAGGTTGCAAGTTCTTCACTAATTTAGCTGACACCAGTTAACCACTTAAATGTTGAATTTCAAAAAAAAAAATGTGTGTGTGTTCAGAAAAAGAAGTACTCTCGTGTAAAAACCATGGATGATGAGGGGGAAGATGATGAGAAAGACCAGATCGCTGATGAGATCTTCACTGGGGATGGAGACGGAGATGGAGAGGTGGAGGAAGGAGAGGCTGTGGACACACTTCACCCAAGAGATGATGAAGAGGAGGAAGATGATGAGGAATCTGGTAGAAAAGACATTTACTCTATTCATCATGGATTTTAATTCTTGTAGTGCTATTCTGTGGAATTTTAGTGATTTGTGTTTTTTTCTTCAATCTTTGCAGACATTGATGATTTCATTGTGGATGATGATGGACAGCCCATCACTAAAAAGAAGGGAAAGAAATTCTCTGGCTATACTGATGCGTAAGTTCAGTAAACAGTTATTTTGGTTATGTAAATTTAGACTTCCCTCCTTAGGATGATGGACTAAATCCCTGGCATTCAACCATATGACTTTCTTATCCGTAGCGTTACTCTCTTTTCTGATATTCTAGTGCTTTGCAAGAAGCTCAAGAGATTTTCGGGGGTGATTTTGACTTTGCTGAGTTCGACACTGAGGCGTATGATCATGCGGAAGAGGAAGAGGAGGATCAGGATGATGAGTCATGGGATCGACCGAAGAAGCAGACCAAGAGAAGAGTTGGCCGTCGTAGCATCTTTGAGATCTATGAGCCCAGTGAGCTGGAGAGCAGCCACATGACCGATCAGGACAATGAGATCCGCTCTACAGACATGCCAGAAAGATTCCAGGTGTGGATCAGCGTTAGGCTGTGTATAAACGTGTTTCCTTTAATCGTTGGGAATACGGATATTTTATAACCTATTGTCATTTGCAGTTGAGGGCCATCCCTGTAAAGCCTGCTGAGGATGATGAGCTGGAGGAAGAAGCTGAATGGATTTACAGGAATGCCTTCTCTACACCAACCATCTCCATGCAGGTAGGAATTGAATGTTTGTACATCATAATTCTTATCTTATGGTACTAAGCTAACTTCTTTACTTATTTTGTTTTGGTTTGCACTGTAGGAGAGCACAGACTACCTGGATCGTGGAACAACCACCAATTTCAGCAGAAAGGGCCCCAGTACTATTGCTAAAATCAAAGAAGCCCTGAACTTTATGAGGAATCAACACTTTGAGGTATAGTCATGGGGGAGAATATGGTGTATTAGAGCCGTGACATACCAAGCCAACGGTGAACGTCTGTCCAGCCAATTTATGCAGTGATGTTCTCATGTCAGTGGCAGTTTGCCCTATTCAGCATGTTGAATTGGCGTCGGGCGATCTGTGAGAGAGATCACTCTTAGTTTAGTTAGTCAGTATATGAAAATAAAAGCAAAAGTGATGAAAAGGATCAAAGAAGTCAAGACGGCTGTTCTAAATGTCATCCCCGAGTGTTCCAATATGCAAATATTTCCATAACCACATGGAAGAAAAAAAGTGATCAATGATTGTTATTCAAAATAAGCTAGCGCTGCTTTGTTTATGGTTTGTATGTATGCAGTCCTAGTTTTGATTTCTCTGTTTGAGTGACAAATATACACACTTGATACCTGCTGATGTATCTGTTATTTCCATACAAGCACACAGGTGCAGAACACAGTTGACAGTTGCCTGTAGTCCTTTTAGTGTGTTCAAGCACAGATTTTTGTACCAGATGCAGCCAACGCATTACTTGATAGACAGATCATCTGGTATTAACTTGTCCCTTCTCTCCTCCATCCTACAGGTTCCCTTCATTGCATTCTACAGGAAGGAGTATGTGGAGCCAGAGCTGAACATTAATGATCTGTGGAAGGTGTGGCAGTGGGATGAGAAGGTAAGGGCCCAATCAAAATGTTCTCAGAATGCATTGTGGTTGCTGCTTTTTGTTTTAATTTAACAGTTAACCCTTTAAGACCGACGGGAGCGTCGGCGCTCCGGTTTGCGTGTGTCTGTTTAACAGCCTATAGAAACTGAAACCAAGTGGCTAGCTCAATCATTCTTTTTG